ATTTGTTAGATATGATTGAAAGAAGTAAACTTTTCGTGGAAACTGTAAGTGAAGAGAATCTCACTGTTGTATTGTATTTGTGTAGGCACCAACGTTACATTGGGAAAGTGAAGCACGCAGTGTTCCATACCCAGAAGACAGGGAGAAAGCGTGTTATTGTGTCAACCGAAGAGAATGTTGTTGCTTCACTTGATCTCAGACATGGGGAGATATGTAAGATTACTATTTTTGCTACTATCCATGTTCAATCGTGGAGTCTCCTTTTCTTACTTTGTTTTTTTGTTTCTGGTTTTGGTGCAGTTTGGCGGCATGTTCTAGGGACAAATGATGCTATCGATGGAGTTGATATTGCCTTGGGAAAATGTAAGACACTGTATTTTGCTTTCACATGAAACCAGTCTTAACTCTGTTTTCTTGGCTTCAAAATTGTTTCAGATGTTATCACACTTTCATCAGAAGGTAGTTTGTTAAGAGCATGGAACCTTCCTGATGGCCAGATGGTGTGGGAAACGTCACTGCATAGCGCACAGCATTCAAAGTCACTCTTATCCGTGCCGGTTAGTAATATAGGCCTATCTGAAATCTTAGTTGTGTCATCATATATTACTTGTTTTTTTTTTTTATGTATTAGAGCTGTCTTGCAGATAAATTTGAAGGTTGACAAGGACTACCCTATTCTTGTTTTCGGGGGTGGGTACCTTCATGCTGTTTCTCCTATAGATGGTGAGGTTCTCTGGAAAAAGGATTTCACAGCCGAAGGGTATGATAGTCTTCACTTTTTTTTAAATGAGGTTGCTTCAAGTGTAGACATGCTTACTTTCGATGTGCTTCATGGTGTGACTCCGGCAGGTTTGAAGTTCAGCGGGTTCTTCAACCTCTTGAGAGCAGTATTATTTATGTGCTGGGCTTCCTTCATTCATCTGAGGCTGTTGTTTATCAGATTGACTCCAAAAGTGGAGATGTAGTGGCAGAAAAAAGCATGGCGTTCCCTGGTGGATTCTCTGGCGAAATCTCATCAGTTTCAAACGATAAAGTCGTTGTTCTTGATTCAACACGGTCAATCTTGGTTGCTATTAGCTTCGTAGATGGAGGAATTAGCTTCCAGAAGACCCATATCTCCGATCTCGTTGAGGATTCTGGAAAGGCTGAGATTTTATCACCTCTTCTAAGCAATATGCTTGCTGTAAAAGTCAATAAACGCACTATCTTTGTGAGGGTTGGTGGTGAAGGAAAGTTGGAGTTAGTAGACTCGTTATCTGATGAAACAGCCATGAGTGATTCACTTCCAGTTGCAGACGATCAGGTGGCCTTTGCCTCAGTTCATCATGAAGGGAGCAAGATTCACCTCATGGTGAAACTTGTGGATGACTTGGATACTGTATTGCTTAGAGAGAGCATTCAAATGGACCAACATAGAGGACGTGTGCATAAAGTTTTCATAAACAACTATATCAAGACAGACAGGAGTAATGGATTCAGGGCGCTTATCGTAATGGAAGATCACTCACTCTTGTTACTGCAACAAGGAGCGATTGTTTGGAGTAGAGAAGAAGGTTTGGCTTCAGTTACTGATGTTACGACTGCAGAACTCCCTGTGGAAAAAGATGGTGTTTCAGTGGCACAAGTGGAACACACTCTCGTAGATTGGCTTAAGGTATGAATGTTTGTAAACCTATGTGTGTTTCCTCACCTTAATTAATTGATCTTTTTCTGTAGGGGCACGTCCTGAAGCTCAAGGGGTCCTTGTTGCTAGCAAGCCCAGAGGATGTGGTAGCAATTCAAGAAATGAGGATGAAGAGTTCTGGGAGAAGCAAACTTACACGTGACCATAATGGCTTCCGCAAATTATTCATAGCACTTACTCGCGCTGGAAAGCTTTTTGCTCTGCACACTGGAGATGGGAGCATTGTCTGGTCGGTGCTGCTAAACTCCCCAGCCTGTGCACGCCCAAGCGGTATTAGCTTGTACCAATGGCAGGTCCCTCATCATCACGCTATGGACGAGAACCCTTCTGTTCTTGTAGTTGGCAGATGCGGATCAGATTCAAGTGCGCCCGGTGTACTTTCATTTGTAGATGTGTACACAGGAAAGGAGATTAGCTCATCAGATATTGGCCACTCCGTTGTCCAAGTTATGCCTCTTCCATTTACCGACTCAACTGAACAGCGTTTACATCTAATAGCTGATACCAATGGCCATGTCCACTTGTACCCAAAAACTTCAGAAGCTCTCAGCATCTTTCAACGCGAGTTTCAAAATGTATATTGGTACAATGTTGAAGCTGATAATGGTATTATCAGAGGACAGGGAATGAAGAGCACTTGCTCTGATGAGACAGCAGATGAGTACTGCTTTACTACCAGGGAACTTTGGACTGTTGTGTTTCCTTCGGAGTCTGAGAAAATCATCTCAACACTAACACGAAAACCAAATGAGGTATAAACATTAGTTTTCTAAATGGAAGTTCACCAAACGCTTCATTTTATTAAATGTGACTTGATTGTGTTTTCCAGGTTGTTCATACACAAGCTAAAGTTAGCACAGACCAAGACGTGTTGTATAAATATGTATCAAGGAACTTGCTGTTTGTGGCAACTGTGTCACCAAAAGGTGCTGGTGAGATTGGTTCAGTTACACCAGAGGAGTCAGCACTTGTAGTATACCTCATTGACACCATCACAGGGCGTATACTTCATCGTTTGTCACATCAAGGCTGCCAAGGGCCTGTTCATGCTGTAAGTTCTCATCTCCTTTCTTTTTGTAAAAGATTCAATGCAACTTTCTTAACCTTTTGAAAAATTGTTTGCAGGTGTTTAGTGAGAATTGGGTTGTTTACCACTACTTCAATCTTCGAGCTCACAAGTACGAGGTTACGGTGGTGGAGATCTATGATCAGTCCCGGGCGGTATGACTTCATATCCAAAACATTTTATCAGTTGATTTGAATGTTCTTTCCTCAACATTGTAAATTTTTTATTTGCAGGAGAACAAAAATGTCTGGAAACTTGTTCTAGGAAAGCACAATCTAACAGCACCAATCTCATCATACTCAAGACCAGAGATGTTCACAAAGTCACAGTCATACTTCTTCCCTCAGTCCGTGAAAACCATCGCGGTGACATCAACAGCAAAGGGTATAACTTCAAAGCAGCTTCTCATTGGTACCATCGGTGATCAGGTTCGTAGATTACATATCACATAATATATACACACTTTATGAATTGGAAAACTGATAACTCTAAACTGTTCCAATGAATGAATAGATATTAGCACTTGATAAACGATTTGTGGATCCAAGAAGGACACTTAACCCCTCACAAGCTGAGAAAGAAGAAGGAATCATCCCTCTGACAGATTCATTACCTATAATTCCTCAGGTTCACTCAATCTCTTGTTTGGTTTCTGTTCCCAGTCCTAATTTTTTTTTTCGATTGTATAAAGTCTATTGCTGTTATCATGTTTCACAGTCATACATCACACACGCCCTCAAAGTAGAAGGTCTAAGAGGCATAGTAACAGCACCAGCAAAGCTAGAGTCAACAACACATGTCTTTGCCTATGGAGTGGATCTTTTCTACACAAGGCTTGCTCCTTCAAAGACCTACGACTCGCTGACGGATGACTTCAGCTACGCACTTCTCTTGATCACGATTGTAGCACTCGTTGCAGCCATTTACATCACTTGGGTCCTTTCAGAGAAGAAGGAACTAAGTGAAAAATGGAGGTGATTGGATCCTTTAATGGTTGAAAACACCCTTTGTTTTTTCTGTGGTAGAATGTTCATGAGAACAAAAAGATATTGGCTTAACTAAATTCTTGATGTTAGGGTTTGGAAATTGAGAACTTTACAAATTCTGCTTGTGACTTTTGTCACATTCTTAGAGTATTGATCTGAATTTTTGAAGTTTATAGAAGCCTTGTTTTCGTCGTTGAATTATATTATTATGTTTTAGAAGAAATTTTGTAAAAGTATATAATACCGTAAAAATATAAATTAATACTTCATAAATTAATTAGTTCAAATATATATAATTCCATGAAAATTATATATATATATATATAGTAAAAATACCATAATATAATATATATATTTTTATCGCTTAATATATTTTGATGAAATTTAGTAAAATAATATCTAAATCCATATTTAAATTGCATGAAACATATTTTATATACATTGAATGATATAATAAAATCAATATGAATAAAGAATTAAAAATAATAATTAATGTAGATACACTAATCAAATATTTTTTTATTTTAGAAAAAAAAATTAAAATAGAAATATCTCAAAAACAAATTTATTTTTTAAATTAATAATGTTATAAATTAAAAATATCATAGTCCGAATATTATTAATTATATAGTTTTTAGGGAGAATTTCAATTATACCACTTTGGTGGTACCACTTTTCATGTTTACCATCAACAAAGGAACATTTTCAAAAATACACATTTTATTAAATGATAAAAGACTCTTATATCCTTGTTCTTTATATATATATATATATATAAATAAATATTAAATAAAATATTAATTCTAAATCCTAAAACATCAATTCTAAACTCTAGTCCCTAAAAAGTAAACCCTAAACCCTAAAAATCAGCCCTAAACCCTAAAATATCAATTCTAAACCTTAAACCCTAAACTCTAAACCCTAAAAAGTAAACCCTAAAAAATCAACACTAAACCTTAAACTATCAATCCTAAACCCAAAACCCTAAACTTTAAATTCTAATAGTATTTTGACTATTAAAATTTTAATGGTAAAGTTGGTTAGTGTAAAGTTGAAAAGTGGTATCTTGAAAGTGTTATTTCTGGCAATTTCCCTAGTTTTTATTGAATATACTAAAATAGTTAATTTATGGTTTAATAGGAGTGATAGTCTTAGGGAGAGTAGTACATGTGTAGACGCCTGACAAATTTGGTGCGAATCAATTATTGGCGTACTATTTAAAAAGAGACACTTCGCTCCACTTCATTTTCACTTCACTGGAGTGTCCTAATCTCTCCACAGTGATGATGAAACCAAACCAGAAAGCAAAACCACACGCGCCACCGCGTCCTCTCTTCTCCTGTGGCTTCTTCCGCCGCTGCACACAATCCGTCCTCAGTCCAACCTCTTCTCATCGTCGTAAGCCAACTACCACCCCTTCCTCCTCCTCATCCTCCTCAACCTCCACTTCTCAAAGCTTCACTCAATGGCGTTTCCCTTATCACCTTGACCACACTCCACACACCGTGACTCTACCCCCCACTCCCACTCTCACTCCTCCTCCGCCGCTGCCTCTTCCGGTCACCACGACTATCCAAGACACCTTCCAGATCGCAGAGCTTCACCTCACATCCGTGTCTGAATCCGACAAGCTCCTCGCTCTTCAGCTGCTCGAACGTGTCGTGATACCCGACCCGCCGTCCGACCCGACTTGTCCCCCGGGTCTCATGCGAGGCCTCGTCTCTTGCCTCCGCAGCAACAACGTCGTAACCGCCAAATACGCCACCAAGATCCTACTCGCGCTCTGCCTCGCCGAAGGTAACCGCCACGTGGCGGTGGAGGCTGGAGCCGCCCGAGCGGTGGTGGAGACCGCGGCGGGGCTTGAGATCTCCGCGGTGGAACGCGCCTTGGCTGCGCTCGAGCTCATGTGCACGACGGCGGAAGGCGCGGCGGAGGTTCGCCGGCACGCGATGACGGTGCCGGCGATGGTGGCGGTGATGGCGAGGTTGGCCGGGAGGGGGAGAGAGAACGCCATAAGCATACTCGCCGTGGTGTACGGAAGAGGAGGAGTTTCCGGCGAAGAGATTGCGGTGGCGCCGGCGGAGGAAGTGGCGAGGGCGGTGGCTCTGGCGCTTGAAGGAGAGTGTACGGCGAGAGGGAGGAGAAAAGGGGCCCACCTGTTGAAGACCCTTGAGGAATATGGACGGTTGGATCTGAGTCAGAATGGGATGTGAGAAAAATAAAATCTAACGGCTGAGGTTATGTCAGATAATCTGAAAGCTTGTTTGGTGTCACGGGCTTGTTGTTCTTTTGTTAAAGAAGTGTGGGCCTTGGCCTCTCTGTCTCCCGCCTTTCTATGTGCATATTATATGAATCGTGTTTTCCTAAATAAGTTACCTTCGAGGACGAAATTAAATTACTAGGATTTACTGCTGAATATAAGTTCCATATTTTTTTGTTCGAATGATGTTTGTGTATAAGCAACCAACCGAGTTGTAAAAAAAAAGGTTGAATATATTCAAATTCACGAAGAATTTATTTCAAATAAAACGTTTTGAAGTAAATTCTTTGATGTATTTGAAATTATTAATAATAATTATATATACTTGCATATAGACCCATGATAAAAAAACTCTCCGTTGGACGTTTTTTTTTTTTAAACAGGCCTAGGTTGGACATGTTCTTAACTATTATACAAATCGAACATCATTTTTTGCTTCAGATATCCAGAAAACAAACGAACCTGACAACGTACGTTATTTGATCTTTCCTAGAAATCAGAATAATATATAAGAATTTATTGTTCAGTTAGAAAGCTAGCGAAACTCTAGAACTGTAGAACATCCAAACATCTAATTGCCAGCGGACGTAATATCACTTTAAGTTCTAAAGGTTTGATCTGTCTAAGATATTTTGGCTTTTGCGCAACTAACCATTAAATTCAATGTACAGATCAGGCCAAGTAGTTATATAACCCATCAAAAATTTAAAATTCTGTCGATACGAAAGCTGGACCGGAATGTATGACGGTTCGTTCCCACAATATTTAATAGCTATAGTTATAAATATTGGTTGGCCAGTGGAACATGACTTTAGATGGTTTGTTTGGCTTTTACTCCATGATAATGTTTGGCAACACATATTTTGGGTATGTAATTACCAATGTTAAAGACGTATAATCATAACTCTCACTCAACAACATTTAAATTGTGCTAGTCTTAAAGTTATATAATATCATCTCTAGTATCATACATAGGTTATTCTCTCAATAAATGCTATTCACATTATTACTTATTAGTGTAAATAAAATATAATAAAAATTTATTGATTTTCATCCGTTACACCAACATCCATAGACAATACGGTTGTATAATTCAAAATTTAAACCTATGTGATTTTTATTTGAAGCCTCTTAGAATTAATTATGGTGAAATAAAGAACTAATTTACTACAAGATTTATTCACACAAAATCCAAGAATTGTTATTTTAGCAAAGTATTTATAGAAAACCATATAAAATATTTAAAGAAAATATTATAAGTCATATAGCAAATATTTATTTCCTTCAAAGCAATGATCTCAATTAATCTCCATCTGCAAAACGCATATTCACATAATCTCTCCGTATTTTTTTTTGTTTTGATCAAACAATCTCTCTCTCCGTATAATCATGCGTTTTTCTAATACACTATTGCTTCTAATTCTATGTTTCCTCGTAATTATATGGACCGTCCGTTCCGTACCACCAGAACCACCGGTTCGATGCGACCAAACCGGCTGCACCGTTTCGAACGCGTACGGCGTGTGGCCTGACCGGAAAAACTGCAACGCGGCAAACGTCACATACCCAACGACGGAGGATGAGCTTATCAAAGCCGTGGCTTACGCGTCTGAGCACAATCTCAAGGTCAAAACCGTAACGAAATTCTCTAGCACCATACCGAAACTCGCTTGTCCTTCCGGTTCAGAAGCAATGCTAATCAGCACTTCAAAATACAACTCGGTTATCGAAATCGAACCGGACCGGTTAACGGTTACGGCTGATTCGGGAGTTTCGTGGAGAGAGCTGATCGATAAAGTGGAAGGAGCTGGGTTTAGCATCGTACCGTCACCTTATTGGGAAGGAGTGAGTATCGGTGGTCTGATTAGTACTGGGTCCCACGGAAGCTCGTGGTCGGGACGAGGCGGTTCGGTTCACGACCATGTTGTCGGAATCAACCTTGTGGTCCCTGCTACTTCATCAGAAGGTTACGCAAAAGTTGTTAGTATTGAACAAGGGAGAGATGATGAGCTTCTTAACGCCGTTAAAGTATCATTGGGTGTTTTAGGAGTCATCTCAAAGGTATAACATAACGCCGTTAGACTGTTTTTTTTTACCCTAGATAATAATTATATTATTACAAAGTACAGAAATATTACAGCCGTTTATAAACTGTTCTTTGTTTATATATTTTTTGGTGTGCGAATATCATTATGTAGGTCAAGCTTTCGATTGAGAAAGCATTTAAGAGAAGTATAACGTATAACTTCACGTCCGACGTGGCTCTTGAAGACATTTTCATGGAGCATGGTAAAAAATTCGAGTTCGGAGACATAACCTGGTATCCTTCTAGAAAAACTGCGGTTTACCGTTACGATCTCCGATCACCGGAAGATGTTTCCGGCAACGGAGTCAACGACTTTATTGGTTTTCAGTCCAATCCAATCTTGATCTCCAAAGGGGTTCGAGCATTAGGTTAGTTACTTTTCTCTTTTAGTAGACATTACTAGCATATTTGGTTTAGTCCGATTTTTTTCTTTGTCCGCCGCCCATCTAAATCGGTTTAGTCCGGTTTACATGTTAAAAATAATAATATTTGGTTTAAAAATTATTGAAGAGAAGGCACTTGAAACATCAAAAAGCGAGAATGGGAAATGCAAGACGGCGGATACTACTTTGGCCTACAAGAAATTAACCGGAAACGGTTTAAAGAACAATGGTTTATTCTTTACCGGATATCCGGTTATCGGGAGCCAAGGAAAGCTCCAAAGTTCTGGTTCTTGTCTCTACTCCTCTTCATTTAGAGTTGATGTCTCTTGCTCATGGGACCCGAGATATAACGGTCTTTCATTCTTTGAAACGACTGCTATATTCACCGTTTCAAGGTTTAGAGACTTTCTCCTCGACGTAAAGAAGCTACGTGACTTGAAACCTGAGAGACTTTGCGGGATTGATATCTATAATGGTATTCTCATACGTTTTATAAAAGGCTCTAAGGCTTATCTCGGCCAAACAGAGGATTCTGTGGTCATTGACTTTAATTATTACCGAGCTGATGATGCGTTGACCCCGAGGTTGAACCAAGATGTGATGGAGGAGATGGAGCAGATGGCGTTTGTCAAATACGGCGCGAAGGCTCATTGGGGGAAGAATAGGAAAGTGGGTTTCTTTGGCGTGAGGCAAAAGTTTGGACCTAACTTTGACAAATTCTTGGAAGTGAAGAACAAGTTAGATCCTAAGATGATGTTCTCTAGTGAATGGTCAGATGAGATTCTGTTTGGGAGAGAAAGTTTCAAGCATGATGGATGTGCACTTGAAGGGAATTGCGTGTGTTCAGATGACAAACATTGTAGCCCTTCTGAAGGTTACTTTTGTAGACAAGGCCTTGTTTATGCACAAGCTAGGGTTTGCAGATTCTCCTCGGCTCAAGTTTGAGTGGGATATACTCAAAGTTTATGTTTTGAGTTGTCACTAGCTCGTGGAAGTGAAAAAATATTTCATGCAATGACGCAAAAGATAATAATTAAGAAAATTAATCAGTCTTCGTCATGAATGTGTCATCAAAATAAATGTGATATCGCATATCCATAATTATGGAGTATATAGTATACAGTATGTTACAGTCTTGTAGAATCTGTTCTGTACTGATATAATACTTATTTGTTTATTTTTCGAAATATTTACCTTAACTGTGAATTATTATCCGTTTTAAAATGTTCTCCATTCAAGAACCATCTCTTCTCTTCTTAATCGCCGCTCCCAACTTCATCATAGTCCAAACAATAGAATCAAAAGACCTAAACTATTCAATGTGTTTCAAAAAAGGTTTTCCTGCAAGGTAGGCCCTTTCTCAAAAAAGAAAGAAGGTTTTCCTGCAAGTTTAGAAAGCTGGCAATGTAAAAGAGAAATTCAAGCCGGCTATCACGGCAACATTTCCAAAAAAAAAAAAAAAAATCCAACGGAATAAATAATATAAGTCTGAAAGATAATCCCAAAATACGAAAAACAAAGCCAAATCAAAAGGTAGCACAATAACTTGAGGTACACGCACACGCTGAATGTTTTATGCGGTACCAAACATAACATAAAAAAAAAAGATAAAAGATATGAGAAAGTTCAAAGATCCAAGAACGGTAGGAACAAAGAAGATTGACTTTCACTGTTTTCTGTCTGACTTATTCTTGATTTCAGCAGGACTAGCGTCTCTTTGTAGCTCTCTTCCTCCTAGTACCTGTATAACATTTAGAAAAAGCACATGTTTTGTTAGAACTGGTGAGTGACAAAGATTCTGTGAAAGACACTTATTAAACTCTGTTCTACTAACTAAGCTCAGTTCTAACTACGTAAGGTGCAAATAGTAGCGTTCCTATTTCCAGCACTAACTAAGTATTAAATATAAAAAACGGTTTTATTAATTCACTAAATTTTAAAGATCTATGAACCAAGAAAGTTATAATAAAGTATTAAATATAGTTGTAGCAACATACCTGCACAAATCTCTTCCGCGTTGTTTTTCTTTAGCCACTTTCCTGACCAAACTCCGCCATGCGTTCAGGGACATGAAGATCTTCCGCCCTTACCATGTAGACATTCCCTGGCTCGATATCGCTGATCTCACCAGGGTATCGGTTAACAATGCATGCAGAGGACATAGTGCTGTTCTCAGCATGCAACGCAGAGGCATTGTTGGAGCTCGCTATGCTTCTCATTCGCTGGAATCTTCCTTGGTTACTGTTGGTTCTAGGATACACCGCCCTTTCATGACTATGTTGAAGCTCTAGAAGTTGTCTAAACTGGTTAACCGGTGAGTTATACTGGTTAACCGGGGAGTTATACTGGTTAACCGGGGAAACATGTCTTGGAGTGAAAAAATTGTTCCCATGGTGGTTAACCGGGGAGTTATACTGGTTAACCGGGGAGTTATACTGGTTAACTGGGGAGATATACTGGTTAACCGGGGAAACATGTCTTGGAGTGAAAAAACTGTTACCATGGTGGTTAACCGGAGTGTTTGGCCTAAACCGAGGATCCATAGGGCTCATCATTGCTTGGTTCATTGAGTTGGGCTCATAATAGATGAGGTTGTTCCACGTATCACTTCTTTGCGCTTGTTGTGCCAACAGACTTGAATAATCCACGTTGAAAGGAGCAGGAGGACTGTGATGATGATGATGATGATGATACTGTGGTGGCATCATGGATGGTGATGCCCAAACTGGAGGAGAAGGTGCTATGTACTGAGGAGGAACACCTACTACCTGATACGGGGATGGATATGAATATGGATGATGATGATGATGATGATGATGAGTAGTCATTGGCCTATTCCCCATCCGCCGGGGGTTGTGTCCAGGAAACAGAATTGAGCTGGGTCGGGTTTCTTGAACCGGAGGAGGCATCAGGACTGATGGAGAAGGCATGTAAGTGATCTGCCTTGGTGGGGATATCTCAACAGAGTTCTGCTCTGGTTCAGTGGGGTCACTGTCTTCTTCTTCTTCTTTTTCTTCTTCTTCTCTTGCTGCATTGGTGTTGTCCTCCATCGAGGGAACATCCTCCTCATACGTCTCATTGAGATCGAACATTAAAGGGTTTTTTGGTTTTGGTGGTACCTCTTGAGGTATGTTGTTGCTCACGTTCACTTCTTTGTTGGGAAGAGCGTTGTTTTGAGTGTTCTCCGTTTCATCATTGCTTTGGACCATAACTCCCTTCCCTTTCCTGTCTGAAACAGAACCATCCTGAAAAGTACACCAATACCGTTATAATCCTAGTCCATTTATTTAAAATCACATTAACCATACGTGTGCAATAAGAAACTGATTAATTATAGAGTATGAAAACCTAATCAAGTTATAACTGTGGCAAATTAATTGACATGTTTGAGTTTGTTAAAAAAAATCTCATCCCATAAAGTGAATAATTTAAGCTAAAGTTTATGTTAAAAAAAATAAACTATATATTATAAAAAGTAATAGATGCAAAGTTGGTACCTTGTGCGGCACGGAAGATTGATCTGCAACTACTGTAGAAGGAGGGGTGCTTCTTTGATTGTTCTCGTTGTTGTTGCTGCTGCTACCAAAGTAAAGAGCACCAGTTCCATCTCCAAGCCCTCTACTTGTGCTTGGTATAGAAGAACTACCAAACGCTGGAACATAGCTTGGTCCTACTACATCTCCTGACCTCGTACGGCTATTATCTTGAGTTTCATCATATCCATCTGAAGCCAACTGATCATCAAGTGAATTAGCAACTCTTTCCTCTGTTATCTGATCCCTTGGAGGAGAAGGAACCGGCTCCTCTTCCTCTATTATAGTTTGCAGACTTGAAAAGGCCTTCTTACTAGGACCTGCTTCTGACCTAGTTCTCATTTTCTTGACTTTCGTAGTTCTCTTAGCCATCGGAGGATTAGGATCTACATCATTCTCAGCCTCGTCATCATCATCATCAACCTGGAACCTTACGTTCTTCTTCTTACCCTTAATATGATCTATGTCAGGTCCACTATCAGTTCGCTCACTACCACCATGTTCAGAGTCAACGTTGAAGAATACACTTCCAGAAATTTCACCACCTGTGCTTACTTTCCTGCCGCGTTTACTGCTTCCAGGTGGGGACTTTCTTTTTTTACCTCTAAGAGATTCCTTTTGAGAAGAAGGCTCTTCTCTTCTTGTGTTGTTGATCACCGGCTTATCAGTCAAATCTTTCAGTCTTCGAGTACGGACCGTACGAGTTTTTCTACAGGGGACCCCACCGATGTAAAGACTTCTACTCTCAGATGCCTTAGGCTGAGCGTCTTCAACCACAGCAGATGCAAGAATGGTCAGAGCCAGCTGCTCCACGTTTTGTTTCTCACCTCTCTTGTTTCCCACTGGCTCTGGCACTGCGACTCTTTTGCTCTTGTTCCGTAGGGCGTAAGTTCTCACCGGTGGTGGATGAACTTTCTTGCTAGACCTAGTAACTGCTAACATGTATTGAGCTTTACAAAATTAGCAAAAAAATTTGTTATTATTTTCTGTACACTTTGATTTGTTGGACTAGAGAAAAATCTATACCTCTTTTATTATTCTTCTGAGATGTTTCGCAGTTTACATCCTCATTCACCACAGCAGCATTACCTACAAGAGAGTACATGATAATACGAAAAGATTATATTTTGCATACTTTAATTTGCTAGACTTTAGAGAAAACTTTATACCTGTCTGATCATCCTGCTGAGATCTTTCGCAGTTTACAGTTTCATTCTCCACCGCAGCATTAACTACAAGAGAAAATGATTATTATTTTTTTTTTTTGCATCAGCATACTTTAATTTGCTAGAACAGAGAAAAAAATATACCTCTTTCATCATTCTGGGATCTTTCGTAGTTTACATCCTCATTCTCCACAACAGCATTCTCTGCAAGAGAAAATTGATAATAAGAAATGATTATGACTGCGTTGAGCTATGAAACTAAATCAAGCAGATACTGATGCATATAGTCATGTTGTTATATTTCCTATTCTGTTTAGCAATATGTGTATAGTTTCTAGTTTTGATATGAATATTTTCGTATAATTATCTAGAGTTAGCCAATCTAATTTCTTGTATAAATACGGCTGCTTGTAAAATATTATAAGCAACAATTCAGCTGGTAATTCTACACGGTATCATGACATTGATCTGATTAATTAAATATCTAAATTGTTATTTAGGCTTATGCTTTTTGCAACAAAAAAAAAAAGATTTTGTTGTAAATCTGATTTTTGCAAATTCTATCGTGGTATATATATAGTAAAGTATTTATTTATTTATAGGAAATAATTTTCATAAGTTTCCGTTTCGGTTTAAGATGATACCATTGTCCCCAACATATTCGTTAGGGAGGCACATAAATACTTGAATACTTGCAAGTACCGAATTTAAATAAATTTTACTTAATTGGCTTAAACGGTTATGCAACTGATTTTAATATCTTTACTATTTTTCCTCACAATAGGATGCTTGTTTCCAAAAAAAAATAAAAAATTATGTGAAAAACTAAAAACATTAATATGTAAAAACTGGAAATGTGTTTTTTTAGATATCGGAGCTATTTCAGACAAAATTTTCTTTTTCTATAAAAATATAATATGTTGATTATAATATTAAAAAAACAGCTAATGTATCCATAAATATCATATTGTTATATTTATATTGTATTAAGAAATATGTGCATAGTGTCCAATTTAGTCAAGGATAAATTCTGATAAGTATCTAGGGTTAGGCGCTAACCTAATTCCTTTAATAAATACGATTCCTTGTAAGAGCAAGACATGTTAGTTCCATATCAATTAACCACAGATGCATACCCGTAATATGATCAGTATTCATTTCTTTCTCCTGATCAATGGCAGTTGGTGAATTCGGTGTGTTTTGACTAGGGATAACCGAAGAGCTGCCATTGAGCCCATTCCTGCTACTTACTATAATTGCTGAGTTTGAAGGCAGCCCAGTATCTGAAAGCAATCATTCACGTGCATAAGTTCAAAGCAATTCCTCATCCACCTAGTAATAATATAGAACTTATGTAAAACAATATTTGAAATGAGTTTTAAAAATATACCTTCTGTCCCATCAGCATCGATATTACTGGTGCATCTCGGGCAAGACCACCATCTAGACTTGGGAAAACTCTCCTCTGAAAACGGCCAGAAATTTCTAGGATTCCTCCCTGTGAGTTCCGCAATGAAGCAACTGCATTAAATTAAGAAGAAAAACTTGATATATTCATGTCATTTCATGTTGTACCTTGCTATTATATATATGAATTTGAAGTGGTTAAATCATATATCCATTAATTATCAAAGTAATTTGAAAATATAAGGTCAATATTGTAGGCTCACCATATGGCGAACCCATCACATGCTACCATATCAACCTCGTTGTTAGCGTCTGTGAGATCTATGTCTATTGAGTTGATCTTAGTGGAGGATCCCAATAACTTCCACCATTATACGATCTCCCCTCACTTAGAGCTGCAAAATAATGTATGATTATACTTATTAGCATCACAATGAAAAGACTTATATATATATATAACATGGTATAGCTGTGCATGATGATTTAATTGTTGTTGGTTAAAAAGAGACAAAGCTTCAAAATACCCAACATAACTCTAAACTAATTAAAGAAGCAATATGAAATATACACCATTATGTTCAACCATATTCCATGAATATCCACATGAAATAATTCATAACCAAACATTCCATGAAACTAATTAGATTTTAAAACCTTAAAGTGTACACAAAATCAAGAACGAAATTCTTCACTAACATTTCATTTCATTTAACAAGTATAATCATTCGTGTGAATTTGAAACAGTGAACATATAACATTCAGCATTCACATGTATTTGAACATCGACATGAAATTAGAGTTTTTATAAAAGAGAACCCCCGAAATCGTTAACATTTTCTACATGATCAGGAAAAGAAAAGCATTATAACGGACCCATTGCAATATAATATCCAAATCACGAACTCCAACACGGGTCAAGATAATTAGATTTGAGTAATTTGGGGTTTATATCAAATTATTTAGTACAGTAACAGATGATAAGACAGTTAAGGTTAACCGCATCCATATGATTAAGAAATAAAAGAAAACATAGATAAACAAAAGACCACCAAATACGGGTCAGATCTATACGCATGCGAATAGTCCGTACGTAAAGACAAGAAAAAAAACAAAACAAAATAACAACAACGAGTCCTGAAGGGACGTGTAAAACAAACAGTAAAGAGCCTTAAATGAAAATAAAAACACGAAGTCAGCTACCAGACAAGCTAGATCTCATCCCACAAGATCCCAAACCTGAACATATATCCATGGAATCGTAGATCTATGTCAAAAAACACGAACCTGGTGGAAATCCAACCAGAGATAACGAGGAAAAGATCGATGAGAGATTCAAGCTATAGATCTTAAGCAGCAAGCAAAATAAAATTGTTTTTGAAGATTGAAAGTTCTAAGAACTGATTTGTTTGGGAGATGAGTAGAATTTGAGTGCGGTTTTCGAGAAACCCTAAGCCAAGTTTGCTAGCAAAAAATGAGAGGTAGAGAGGAAAGGGACACCTCTTCTTCTTTGTCTTATATAGAGAGGCTGTTGAGAAAGAGATAGAGAGTCGGTGGCTCTCTTCTTATCTTTGAATTGAGAGTTTTCTGGGTCAAAATGAAAGTGTATTCCAACAAAAATAATTATTATTGATACAAAATTTTTCATTTTCTTGACCAAAAACAGCTCATCTGTTGAACATATGGCTCTGCCATTCACCATGGTCTTCATATTTCTCTATTAGTTGATATGCTATTCTATATACTGTGTACACATTTTCTATTGTCATAAGTCAGATTAAAAGGAAAGATATATTTCTATCTGTGTAGTATTTCTTACTTATTTTGCAAATTCTCAACATTAATATTAAAAGCTTTATTAGAATGTATCAAAAAAAATGAATAAGAATAGAAGATAATAATTTTATAAGATTTCATTGCTTACTTTTAAGGAAACCTAGCTCTCACCTACGTTAGAAAACAAAACAAAACATAGTGCCTACGTTTTTGTGCGATAGGATAGGAATTATAACCAATGATAGACACCCACGTGGACTATCTTCGATTCTGATCACAACCCATTTGGTTGTCTTGAAAAAGAAAGCCCTAGACGCGTGGTATTTACAACATCTTCTTTTCTCGTGTGGGCTTGAAATATGTACACGTGGAGAATAAAGATTGGAGAGTGTTATTCACGTATAAGGAGGGAGAGTGTAGAAAAGTGTGATGAGAGCGAAAAATAAAAGCCCTAAAAGCATAACCTAGATGCGCCAATTTTGTCGATAATATATAAACCCTAACATCTTTGTTTCGCAATTTCTCAAATTTACCACAGTAAAGATCAGAAAGATTTGGCACACATAAACCAGTTTCTTTGTCTTTTTTTTTTCGTATATAAGGATATATCATTCTCATTACTGATATTTTGTATATGCATTTTTCTCGTAATATACGTTTTGATTTTTTGCTAAGAAATAAACGTATTTGTATTATATTGTATGTACGTGATGTAAGCAAAGTTTAGCAAAATGATGATTAAAAACAACTTTGTTCTTTGTTAGAGTTTTGCATTGAACGTTGATTCGTTGACTCTATTTTGTACCAAACTCGTCGATATACTACTAATTAATTCGATTGTCACACACAAACGTATTGTATGTTGTATGCGAAGTTTAGCAAAGTGATGATGAAAAAATCAACTTTGTTCCTCGTTAGACTTTTGCATACTCCATTTTTTCTAAACAATGATTGATTATATTGATTCCAAACCGGCCGATTAACATATACCCCCGGAGACATTAGCCTACAAGAGGGAGACAAGATAAAACATGAGCATAAACTGAGATACAAACATAGCACAAACAAACAATTAGAACATCAAGGGACAATCAACTAAACCCATAACAAATTAAGAACTACATATTTTGCATGTAGACTTCAAAAGAGAAAGTTGGAAAGAGACAAAGCTTGATCAAACCACCGATACACAACCTTCTATTGAGAATAGCCCAGACAAGATAGAGAACAAAGCTTCAAGACTCGGAAGACAACTAGACAACTTGAAGCTCGACGAAATAGCAAACCCCGGTCAGATCAAATGGTAAATGATACGGAGCAGTTGCAATCGATTCTCGATTCTATTGCATGTAGAAAGCAAGGAGACAGAAGATCGAAACAAGAGAGTAAACTAAGAAATCTCAAGCCATACATGCAACAACAAAAAACTAAAGATCAATACTGGATAGAAGATCAGATCCGCACAGATAGATCAAAGATATAACCAAAGACACGTAGAGAAGCTTGCGCCAATCAAAAGTTACTCGCAGTCACTCGGAAAACAAAAGAAAAGAATACCTGACTCCGGCTCTAAGAGAGCAGCCGAAGCCAGTTATCAGAATCAAACTCGTGAAAAAAAAATTATAGAGAGAAAAATTAACTTTTACATAGTTGGATGTTGATTCGTAATTGACTCTATTTTGTATGCCAAATCCGTAAATATAATATTAATTTGAACTTATTGTTACACATAAACGCATATGTATTACAAATGTATATATATATATATATATATTTATCTAAAATATATTCTTAAAAACAATTGAAATTTTTGAACGTTAACCAGACTCTTGTGATAGAAAATTACAAATGTTTTCGTTCAAATCTAGCAACAAAATGGTAAGAAATCACAGATTAATTGGCACAATTTATTTCTATTGCAAACTATGTTTATTATGAAAGATAGCATGAAATCATATGAATTTTTTTTTTTAATTGTGTTATTATCAATAAAGTAATATAAATAATTTTCTTTCTTAGTGATTCCTATTGGATTAATAAAGGGTGTGGCAATCATATAATTTCAGTGTGAAACGTGGTATTTTGGATTAATACGAAGATAATCTTTTTTAAGATTCAACTATTTCAGAAATAAATATGAAATTTTTATATGAAAGTCTTTAATCAACCATATGCAAATAGATGTTTATATATTTTGGATTGGTGTATCCCTTTTCAACGTTAAAAAATGGTAAGAAATCACAGATTAGTTGGCACGGTTTATTTCTTTTATATTTTCATCTTATGTGTAATATACATGATTTTTCTATTTATCTCTAGTATTTAACATGTATGAAGATATGATGGGCCTATTTTTAAAAAGATGTAACAACATTTCATGATTAATTATCTTTGATATATTTCACTAAATGAAAATAAGGTCGATAAAAGAATGCCTACTACGATCACATTTTTTTCTTTTGTTTGGTCGTCAAACAAGTTTTTGTATAAATCATTTATTTTTCATACAACGATAAATTATTCGCACTAAGCGATAACATAATTAAATTGGCTATAAAAATCGCTGGAACAATATGATAGAAAAACGAAGAACTGAACTACAAAGCCCAAGCAATAGGAGAATATATGAACTTTCTCTCTTTGTTATTCTGCTGTATTTTTATATAATTTTGTCTGCGGTAACCTTTTTTTTTAGTTTTATCACCTTGGAGGTTTTGTAATAATAATATTCTCCCCGAAGAAATTTAGGTCTATTGCTTTAGCTCTATTTAGGGAAATATATAATCTCCTTTTCTTCCCACTGACGTATATGTAACTTACTTTTTTCCAACATAAGATCAACTTCTTTTGTCCGACGCGATTAATTAGGGTTTGAAAATTATGATGTATGTATAAAACATTTTAGTGATCCAGTTTTAATTTTTGATGCGGTATTCACTTTTTTTATCACGAAAACTGCACATTACATGCCTCTCTTAAGTTTCTAGGTAAACTTTAAAGTGAAATTACATAACTTAGTAAAAAGAATTAAACCATACGATGATCTTCAACCAACCAAACATTTTATCTTGACCATATAAATCAAGATTCATATATTCGGGAATATTATCCTCACGCTCGAAAGAGGAGAATAGTATACAACTACTAGATCACTTTTTGGTTTGTAGACGTGCACAAGTGCAGTTAGTAAGTTTATAAACACAAGTTGATACGTATAAGAAATTATAAACACGACAACGACATTAACCTTCTCACTCTGAGACACTCTCTCCTCTTTTAACTCTTGAACTAGATTTTGACCCGCACTTTTAAAGCGCGGGTTTATTATATTTTTTGATAAAATTTATTTGAATTAATAAATTTTATTTTAACACAAAAATTGTTCTACTAATATTAAAATGTTCTATTATCTTGTTTGATTTTCACGTATTGTGTGTTTTCATATCTGATTTAGACCATAGTTGAACCGGTATATTCAACAATTTTTGTATAGTGCAGTAAGATTTAATGAAATTTTATTAATTAAAATTTTGATAAAACTGGTAAATATGCAAAAATCCTCTATTAATCCGAAATATAATATTTGTAGATCTGCTAAAAGTCCCATAAAAACTGATAACATTTTATAAAAAAATATTAAATAACACATACTTTTAAAATTAAAGAAAATTGATTTTTTGTAATTTCTTAGAATTTAATGAATTTATTTTTATTTGAAAAATGAAACAATGGTAATAAAAGAAAAATATTTATATAACAATATCTGTTTTTCATTATTAATAACCTATGATTACTTTACATTTTTACTTATTAAATATCTAAAAGGTAATTTATTTAAAAAATTGAATTGGTATATCCATATTATGACATAGTAAATAATAATATTTAATTTTTGATCGCTAAATGATATTTTGCATGAAAATAAGATATTAAAATTAAAAGAAAGTATAAATTGCATAAAAATAAATTATTATTAAACACAAAATCAGAAAATTATTAATTACCATAAATATAGGAGAGATTTAGTTATTTAGTGTAAATAAATAATAATTATATTAAAATTAAATGCTTGTGGCATATCTTTGTAAATAATTCAAAAACTATGGGCAGAATCCTATGAGGGATTCTGCTTTAATAGTATAGATTTGAGCTAATTAACTAGTAGTTTATGCACACAGATATACACTTGCTTCCGGTTCACTATGTTGAAGTGTGTATGCTCCCAGGCGACATTCAAATCACGTATAGATCTGTTTGGCTATCCAGATGGTCGAAACATTTAAGTATAATATTTGTAAGACAATCAAAAATTCATCTATAGATCTGGACTAAAACAATATAAATTCATATATAAATCCACAAAAGTAGTGCCAAAACAGAGACTATATCTCTTTCACTCTCCTCTCATTAGATTTTTGAGAGAATTGTTTTGATGGACTTACATATAGTGAGTTCCGTATAGTGTAAATTAAGGTGAGTGTAACCCAAACACACATTGTTTCAGTACTAATAATTTTCTGGCTTCTCATACACAATCGCAAAGATACCCTTTGTAATGTAGGAACGGTCGTATATATATTGTGATTGGCAAAATAAATACTCCTTCCGTTTCAAAAAGTTCCATATTTTAGAAAAAAATATTTGTTTCAAAATAATATATTTTTTTATATTTATTAATAGAAAATTGTAAACTTCATAAATCATAATTGTATTTATTAGAATCATATTGGTTAAAAGTTATAGGAAATAGTTAATTACGAAAAATAATGTAATGGTAAGAGAAATTTGATATGTTTTTTTAATAAGTGTGAAAATATTAAAACATGAAACATTTTGAAACGGAGAGAGTATAATATAACTAGAATTGACCTCAAAATCACAACAGAAATCAAATACCACCTAAACTATAACATTAAGTAATAGTTTCGCTGTCTATTTTTATCTTTGAATTGAAAGTCATATGAAATAATTGCGAATATTTATAATTGGTAAAATCATAAAAGCAAGTCAAAACCGACAAAAATGTTATTTCTTCTGTTTCAATAAGATGCAATTTTAATATTTTTACACATATTAAAAAAATTATGAATTTTAAATTACCAATTTATTATTTTTTGTAATATACTATTCCTAATAACCTTTAATCGATAGAATTTTTATAAATTTTTTGAAATTTGTAATTTAACATCAACTAATTAATGCATTGAAAATATGAAATATATATAAAGTTTTTAGACACAAAATTTTTCTCTAGAATATATAATATATTGATACGGAGGGAATATTGTAAAAAGACAGAATTGATGCATGGAAACTGGAATTAGATATCGGAGTAATTAGGAAAAAAAAAAAATTCTTGATTCATTACAACAACAAAAAGGTAATAAATCTGGGAGACAACCTAGCTATATATTCGGCTACAAGAACAGCGTAGACTAATATATCACATTTGATCTTCGGATTTGAAACTATACTGTATACATATATATATATCAGAAAAATACAAAGATTAATTTTTAATTAATACAAAGATTATTATTTAAAAAAAAAGATTATTATTTTTGATTAATCTTTGTAGTTAGCTACTTAGCTATGTTAAAAGGATTTAATTAAACCCCATCTTCAGGAGTTGGGACAGTTAGAGTAGTAGTTCGTTTTTTTTCAGATTACCGACCACACATATTGAGATATAAGCTTGTGAGTAGAATACAATTCTATGGCTGTAGGCTTGTAGCTTCACAGGATTCCAAAAAAAAAAAAATTATATTATTAGACTTTCAACTTACTCCGAACAAGAGCAAGTAACATAAAGTAGGTATTTACTCCCCAGATGCACTGTCTAAGTCCATTTCAAGTATATGAACGTGTAGTACAATACTTAATGCAGGCGATATGAAAGATGTATATATATATATACTATGTTTTGAACACAGAATCTACATAAATTCAATCAAGTTGACTCACTAGTAAGAAAAAAAGAAGAAGAGAGAATCAGATCCAAGCGGGGACAAGCTCTGTTTATAGAAGATGCACATACATTGTTTATACATGTTCATGTATGTGCATTGAATGAATATTATGTATTGAGGAGAAGGTTCTGGCCCTTTTTACCTACATCCCTTCAAGTGGTAGGATGAGACTTCTTCTCTTACTTGGTGGGAGACTCACAATCGTTGAAGTCCAGCACTCTACCCTCCGCCTATATAAAAAGATGCAAAATGTTCATAACCTCAAAATCTTCAACTTAGAGAGTGATCTGATTATTAGTAATGTAGATATATTTACCATTAGAGGATCATTATTCTCTTTATCCAAATCCTTCATCTTCCTTGCATCATTAGTATTTGGCGAGAGTGAAATTTCCATTGCATTGAATGCTGAGAATGCACTTGTTTGCTCATTTCTCTGTGTAAACATTCCTATGCTCTCGTAGCTTCTCTCCCCAGGACTGAAAATGTAGCCCATGTCCTGGAAAAATAAGCACAAATTGCCTTAGAGAGTTATGTCTATACGGGATAAAATAATTTGACATTGCATATCTGTACCTCGATAGTTATGTCTGTGTCAAATCTTGGGCTGGGCAAGAGAGAGTTTACATAAAACGGAGATTTCCAGGCTGATGGAGATTCAAGACCTCTCCTGAACGGAGTTCCACAGAATCTGTAAATAAAGGAGAAGCAAACTCATTGTAGCAAGAATATAAAAAACAAAAAAATATATATATTGTTAAGGTTGGGTCATAGATGTAAGTACATGCTGAAATTCTCATTGTTTGTCTCGTTGTTAGCAAGATGACCCTCGGTGTTTCTGGCTCGAGAAGGCGAATTAATGACCAAACAAAGACTTGCAGAAGAGTGTTGTTCTTTGTTAGAAGTACCCATGAGAGTTCTCTGCAAGTGATTTCTTGGGGTTGAGACTTGTGCCTTCTCTGCTTTGGTTACTGATTGACCAGGAGGAGACATAACTTGCTTGTTGGTATTGCTCTCAGAAAGAACACCAGAGAAACTTTCAACCTGCATAAGATTTTAGCAGCTCTCTAGTCATACCTTGAAGGTAAGCAATAATGCAATACAAAACATATATGTTAAAGTGAGAAGCGGTCCAATTTTGTTATGTACTATTGGATGACCATGACATGAAATATATCATATTCACAACTAAGCTAACTACAACGTTTCATATATATGTTCTGCTTAAATTCTGGAGCATTCCAAGATTGTAATAATATAGACAACTCAAGATATTCAAATACTTAAAGGAAAGAGGAGACTTACATGTTGAACATTTGCCTCCAAGACAAGTGAAGTAGGCTCACCCCTCCGATTCTCTTCACCTTCTCCATTTAATATTTGAAAATGGTTTTCCTTATCTCCAAGATTGGCTCCAGAGATAGATTCTCGACTCTCACTCTCATCAAACATCACATCCAGGCGTGAAAAATCTTTTGCCAGAGTAGCTGCTATATCAGTTTCAAGCTTCTTATCACTTCTCTTCTCAGATAACGGTGTCAGCAGATCACGGGTGCGTTTCCTCAGGATTGATTTTGCACCAATCAACGTCTTTTTTCCAGTGGGAGACTCCCACAGTCTAAGTGGGCTCATGCACGTCATGGTGGACATCAGTAACTTGCGTATCCCAAGAGGGCTATAATCGTGCATCGGATCGTTGAAAGCAGGTAGGTCCAGGCTTGGAAAACAAAGACTTGATGATGCTCCCATATCCTCATGCTGCAGCTCGCTTGACATGTTTGGTTCATGCTTAGAAAGAGCGTTTGGCTTAACTTCTGCCAGAGAAGCAAAATCGTTCACTGGAACCAGCTTCTTGGAATCATTCAAATGATAAGATTGATCTTCTTCGATGGAGTTATTAGGCCCTTCATCAACACAAGTAGAGCTTGAAGGATCATTGATGCATATGAAGCTACCATTTTCATTTGTTCTGCAGTCTGGTTCTGCCTCGAAAGGATGACATATCAATCTGGATGACTTCTTGGAATACTTTTCGGGTGTTATGATTAAGGGAGCTGGCCGAAGAGTTTCTTTGCCTGAGGCAGGTGTTGCAATGGACGTTGAAGAAGAGCTCTTCATAGGAGATTTTGTAGCTTCTGAAATCTGGCTGTCTGAAGCTGATGCACACAAAACAGGACCTTGACTGTCTCCCTGGTCAACCTCGTGTGACTCTTGGGTTGAAGATCTAGAAACACTGAGCCCTTCACTCTCTTGATCAAGGAAAAGAACTCTGCAGCATTCCGTTTCAGATGTCAGAACGTTTGAAGTGTTGGTGTAAGCAGACACATCTATATTTGATGTGGAGCTTGGAGCCCCTAGAGAGGATTCCTTCCCCTCCTTTGTGTATGTCATCGGCAACTCCGACAGATCCTGAAAGTCAAATTGGTAATCCTGGCTCGTGGAAGCCGAGACATTATGATCAGGAAGCTGTGAACAGTCCTCCATGTCATAAGATGTTTCTGAGATGGAGACTGAGATATCTTCCAGTTCTGGATAATAATACTGAGAGTTTTCACAGGGCTGGAAATGTTGCCTCATGTTCATTATACCATTTTGATAATGTTCTGCAGATATAGAGCAGCCAGCCATGCTTGAAATCTGACGGTTTTCTATTTCTTGCTCTGCCTGTCCACTTACACAGCCATTACCATTCATAGTACTCTGCATAAAAGCAGACTGTAACGCGGAAGCTCTATCATAAGGAGCTAAAGGCATGGCTTGGTACTGATCCAAAAGGCCAGATGACATATAGGAATCGAGTTTCTTCTTAACTGAGCTGTGCCAGTGGTTTTTAATTCCATTATCTGACCTGTTGATAACATAAGCAACGATAACTATGTTGCTAAGAACAAATAAAGGAATACCAGTAAGAAGTATGATTAATTCCAGTTCCAGATGAGAGTAAATATTAGTACCTTCCAGGCAAGAACTTTGTTAACTCTGCCCATCTATTACCGTAGATTTGATGAGCACGAATGAGAACCAGCTCTTCTTCTTGAGTCCAAGCTTCCTTGTTTATGGCAGGATTGAGGTGATTGTGCCACCTATATCAGTTACGGTTTATTTGTAAATGCTTTCAAGTGCTAAGTCAGACACTGTTGTTGCTAGAGAGATGTAAATGTCTATCAGCATACCTCTCTCGACATTGCTTTCCAATACGGCCAGGCAAAAACCGAGCAATAGTGGACCACTTCTTGGGCCCATATTTTTGGATTAGCTGAACGATCATGTCATCTTCCTGCATACCATTTCAAATGAGGGCAGTAAGCAGTCATAGGGGATATTTGGACATTATAGAAGCCATGAGAGTCAAGTGTGCAAGATGCAAGTAAATAAAAGTAGTGGAAGAAAAGTGATGTCACACCTCCTTGGTCCAAGGACCTTTAACAAGTTCAGGATTAAGGACCTTCTGCCACCTATGGAGGCACTGGACATCAGTTCGATCCTTGAAAAATTCAGCTGCAAGTTAAGAAAAAAAAAGACGATCAGACAAAATATCAGACATTCAAAAAGAGAAGGGTAGTCAAGTATGTCAAGTAGTGAAAGTTATACCAATCTTCTTCCAGTTTTTTCCTTTAAAACTATGGACAGCTTTTGTCAAAATCTCATCCTGCAAAAGACATGGTTGGTCAACCAATCATTAGATATGGAAATGGAAATGGAAGAGAAAAGAAAAGCAAAAAGATATCCAAATTGTCACCACTTCTTGTCTATCTCTTGAGTTAGTGTATGATCTAAGCAAAAATGAACTTAAGCATATATTAGGAAGAGCTGATTACATCTATGATCAATGATAATTTCATGCACATGAGACCAGATTAATCAAAATAGGATTATTTGGAAACAAAAAAAAAAAAACTGTAAAGCTAAATTAAAAAAAAAATGTTACCTCTTCTGCAGTCCATTGACCTCGTGTAGAACGTCTTGCAGGGCCACTAGTCCTCCTATAATATCAACACAAGAGTGTCATGCAACTCAATTCTATATGACATTATTACAGTTTCTTCACCTTATTCCTAGTCTATTGTATCAATTAACGATTAATAAAAAGAAAAATTACCCTTGACGCGATTTTGAGTTCCCTTCAGTAATCCCCCCCTGAGGAGGAGGAGGGGTTGTTGAGCTCGTTGTTGTACACTCACTTTCCATAATAAGAGAGATACCTTTTTATCAAAGATACGAGGATTAGTCAGACCTAGCAGCTCAACATCTCTCTCTAATCATCAAGTTAGAGTTACTCACCACCCCAATCGCGAAGCTTCAAGTTGATCAGATCTCGAAGCGTAATAGTCCGACACACAAAAATTAAAACTCAAATCCCAGATTGGTTACAAATACAAATCTACACTGTAAGCTCAGACAGAGATTGGAGAAATAATGTTTGAATTAAAAGGAAAGAAAATCTAAACGGTCGGCAGAGCTAATTTCAAAAAGAGAGTGTTGGAAGTTTGAATTTTCTTCCACAAACCCTACCACCACCACCACACTCTCAATTAAACGTTTTTTTTCTTTCTTCTTTGTATCAATCAAATCTGTGTGATCTAAGTTGATCTCAGCCGTTCATTTTAAATATTATTGACCAGGTGTCTTGTCTTTTTCAAAGTACTCAACCGGCGATGTCATTATTTGTTTCTCTTCTTTGTTCCCCCCCCCCCCTTCTTTTTCCTTTATTTCGAATTTTACCCCGACATTTAATTTAATACCCATTGATTTCCAAGTACTGATTTGTTGGGACTATGGATCCTATTTTAAATACCCATTGGGGCCACCGTCTGTAATTATTTTTGATCATGGGACTGTACTTTGAGGGGTCCTGATATAGCCAACTAACCTTTAGAACGATTATAGCTTATTCAAATTTCAGACCAAATAGTTGAATAATTAGTAAAATGCTTTTCAAATACTGGTTTGGATATTGTTGCCTAAATAATGGTAATTTGATATTGTCCAAAACAGTCGAAGCTATAGTCAAATCCAAAACAATCTAGCAGATTAATATGAAAGGGGGGGGGGGGGGGGG